TAATAAAAGGCCTTCAATTAGGTAAATATTTCCTTAAGTCAATAAAAGCTATGCCTAGACAAGTACAGAATACAAAGAGGGAATCAGTGACTTTCAAACACTATTTGAGCGAAAAATTACTAATAGCAAACTGCCTCTGTGCTGAAGCAGGACCAGGACCACCATATATTCTGACTTGCTATGAGGATGCCTCACATGCCTCAGGATATAGTTGCACTTATGCTTATGTTTTTCTACAGTAAACTGATAAGAGACATGATAAGCAAAAGGAAAAGGCACGAGGAATGAAATCAGGAGGAAAAAACCCAGAAGAGCTTTTCTCAGTGGAGTCACACAGGATATACTTAATGCTATCCGCAACAAATTTTTTTTTTTTTTTGGGGGGGGGGGTGGGTCCGGTCGTAGGGCCTGAACTCTGGACCTGAGCGCTGTCCCTCAGCTCTTCAGCTCAAGGCTAGCGCTCTACCACTTGAGCCACAGCGCCACTTCCAGCTTTTTCTTTTTGCTTATGTGGTGCTGAGGAATCGAACCCAGGGCCTCATACATGCAAGGCAAGCGCTCTACCACTGAGCCACCTTCCCAGCCCCAACAAGTTTTGACAATATATATTATTTTCCTTCTACTATAAAAGCCCATAGAGATTCAGTGAACCAGGTTTATACTGGGGACTCATCATATAGGTACTCTTCACCATAGCTCCAACCGAAGTTCCATACACCTATTAGGAAAGCATTTATTCTTCATAAATCACATTGCTTATACAAACAGTTCTGAAAATGAGAGAAAAACTCTCAAAATCCAACTTTGCAGAGGCCAGTTACCTTACAAGAAATAACAAGCAGTTATGCTGTGTAGTATTGTTTCTTCTCTATCACACCACTTGGACATATAACTTAAAATTTTAATATGACTTAGGCAGCTGGAAATGTGGCTTCGTGGTAGAGTGCTTGTCTAGCATGCATGAAGCATGAAGCCCTGGGTTCGATTCCTGAGTACCACATAAACAGAAAAGGCCAGAAGTGGAGCTGTGGGTCAAGTGAGAGAACACTAGACTAGTACAGAGGCGCTCAGGTACAAGGCCCAGGCCCAGAGTTCAAGCCCCAGGATTGGAAAAAAAATTAAACATAGAACAGTATTATCTCTGTACAAAATAACAGGTTCCTAGAAGTTCAATTCCATTTCCAACAACTAAATTAGCCTAAGTTTTGGACCATTATCAAAGAAGTTTTCTACAGTATAGAATAGTGAAATAACTCACTCTAAACATATAAACCTTAAATGAAACATGAAAATAACAATTAGAAAAATAGTCTGAGAATAAAAACAATAAATATAGACTAGGAGCTCAGGACTAGTAGCTCAAACCTGTAAACCCACCAATGCGACAGGCAGACAGGAGGATCATAGATCCAAGCCAGTCTAGGAAAAAAGGTTGAATCCTGCCTAAAAACAAACTGGATCTTACCCATGTAATTGTAACCCCTCTGTACAGTATTTTCACAATAAAAAAAAAAAAACTGGGTATAGAGGATTACGCTTTTAATCCTAGCTACTCAGGAGGCTGAGATAGGAGGATAATATTTCAAGGCTAGTGCTGGCAAAAGCAGAAGATCCTATCAAAAAAAAAAAAAAAACTGTAAAGCAAAAAGGCTGGAGATCCAAATGACAGAACACTTTCTTCAAGGGTGACACTCTGAAGTCATCCCAAAACGACCAAAAAAGGGAAAAAAAGATTATTAAACTTTGTAAACTATTGTGATAACAGAAAAATCAGCATAAAGCATAAGATTTCATTTATAAGAAAGATTTTTTTTGAACTTTTGTTAATTAGTTGCCCTGAAGTACTACATAAAAACAATATTTTAGGAAGTGACGCTGTGGCTCAAGTGGTAGAGTGCTTACCTTGAGCTGAATAGCTGAGGGCCAACACCCAGACCCAGAGTTCAAGCCCCATGACTGACCAAAAACAAAACAAAACAAAACAAAATTCAGGTCTTCTTCCTTCTTTCAAACAATCCAAAAACTTTTAAAAGTGTGCGTGTGACGGCAGGGGGGCGGGGGTGCGGGAGGATCTATATCTATGCTGCCATCCTAAGGACAAACTAAGCAACACATACTAGTAAAATAATTATATTTAGAGGTATTTTTTTGTAAGTGTACCAGTCCTAGGGCTTGAACTCAGGGTCTTGGTCCTATCTCTAAGCTTTTGTGTTCAAGCCTAGTACTTGAACCACTTGAACCACAGCTCCACTTCCAGCTTTTTGGGGTTAATTGAATATGAGTCTCATGGAATTTCCTTCCAGGTAACTGTAATCCCAGAAAAATAATGACTAGTTAATATCCTTAGATACTAATTCAATTAGATACTGTCATAGTTACGTCAATCAGGAAAAAGAACATAAAATAATTTGAACAAAGAAAGTTTACTATGAAGAATTAACTATAATGGGAGAATATTAAGAAAAAAAAAAGTATCCCAAGGAAGAGCAAGCATAGGAAGGGTGGGAGTGAGAATCTATTTTCTAGAGCTGGCACTCAGATCTCCCTATAGGGAGCCTGACTGTAGCTATAGAAATTTGCTGGAATGTCCAGTCAAAGTTAAGGCACAGGAAGCCCAGTTTGGCAAGCATGTAAGCAAAGGTAATCAGGGCTCCCACGAACCAGCTCACTAACAAGACAGAAAGAAGCCTATGGTGCAACATATCTATGTTGGGAGGGTTACAAGTGAGACTCACAGAACCAGAACCAAAACTCTGAGCTTGCAGAGGAACTGCGTGCAAAGGTAGAATGCAGCATCACTGGCCCCAGACCTTGTGCAAAGAACAAGACAGCACACAGGAGCCAGAAAAAGAATTCTCTCCTTTCTGCAGTGTCCCTCCAGCTCCCTCTAGTGTCACAACTGAATACTGCTTTGAAAGAAAAGTAAAATCAGAGGTAAGTAGATTTGTAGTCAAGAAGCAATGATAACTGATACACCGAATATTGATATACAGATATACATGATATGCAGAATATTGCTGAAATATCTCTCTTTTTTAGGAATTTTTTTCACTTTTTTTGGTTGGTCGTGGGGCTTGAACTCTGGGCCTGAGCGCTATCCCTCAGCTCTTCAGCTCAAGGCTAGCGCTCTACCACTTGAGCTACAACACCACTTCCTGAAATACCTCTATCTTTTATAATTACTCAGCATCCAGGTTACAAATATAAATTTCTTAAAGCAATGAACTACTACTACAATATGCAAAAGTACTACTACTTACAAAGATTCAATAAAAGCTCTAACAGATTTGCAGATTATACCAATGTTGATTTCCAAAGTGTGAATAATGCAATGTAGTTACATATGATGTTGCCAATGGGGAAAGCTGGAGGAAGTGTATGTAGAACCTCTTGGTACAATTCCAAGTTCCTGTGAGTCTGTAATTATTTTAAACTAAAAATGTTTTTTAAGACAACTATTGTTTTTGTTGTTATTGTTATTGTTGGTGATGGTGGTAGTGATGTTTGTTTTTGCTTTGGGTTTTTTTTCTTTGGGGGGAAAGGGAGACACAGAAATGGAGGGAGGGAGGATGAACAAATGCAACTATGCTATTTAGTATACACTATGCGGAAAATGACCTATGTAACCTGTGGGCAGGGATGGGAGGGGAAAACTGGGGGCAAGCAAAGGAAAGAGTGACACTGCCAAAAAATGTACTCATTACCTGGCTTATGAAATGATAACCTCCCTCCATATGTAGTCTTAGTAATAACAAAATTACATTTTTTAAAAGAATTGTCTTTCTAAGAGCTGAAGACACGACTCAAATGGTAAAGTACCAGCTGGGTAAGAATTTTTTTGCTGAAAAGTTTTGGCCAAGTGTCCTGGTTTTGGTTGATTGCTCAGATAAAACTGTTAGCCCCTCTCAAACTAACCAATCATACACAATTGTGCACAAAAGTTCTGAACAATCATAACAAAGGACAGTAATATGTTAAAGATAAAAACTGAGTGCTCTGCTTACCCAGCAAGCTTGCTTACTTGACTTCTTGTCAGTAGCATATCCTTCTGCAGAAGTAAACTTTACTTTGCCAATTAAAAAAGCTGGGCTGGAGGTATGGCCCAAGTAGTAAAGTGCCAATCAAGCAAGCAAACTAAACAAGCATGAAAACTTAGTACCAAACAATGAGAAAAAAATGGCACCTCGTGCTTTGTTTTTATCTGTAAGATTAAACAAAACAACAGACTATAACTGCATGATGTGTAAAAAAAAAAAAAAAGCTCTGGAGTGTAACAGTAGAGAGTTAAGTGATCAGATGAAATCGAGAAATACTGGGTATTATTAGAAGCATCTACTTCAATACTAGGGTTCTGTGGCTTGGTAGACTAACAGATAGGAAACTTCAAAAAATATTAAGAATTCAGCACATTCTAAACAGACAAGACTGGATATACTCTTCTCAATGCTGTAACTGGAATCTACATTAAATATAGCCACATTGTCTGAGCTACTGCTCTGGGGATCAGAAACCCCTGCACTCTTCTATGTACAATCCCAAAATGCCTCTTTTTAGTGGCTCAGTAGGTAGCTGCCAGAAGAGAGGTTAGTTTAAAGGGGAAGAACTTCAACAATAATCCACTGAAACTTTATTCAGTAAAAAGAACAGTCTGCAGTTCAGAGGAAAGTAGAATACATTTCCAGTGCTTTCTTGGGGAGGACCTTTGACCCACCTGTCAGCATCAGAACTTGTAAATCCATAGCTATGGAAAAAAACTCACAAAGCCATGTGGCTGGTTTTTTTGAGATTTTTAACTCTGGATGACAAGACCATGTCATCCAGATTTTCAGTGAATTAACTGTGTCTAAGTAGTTTATTTAACCAACTACAGCATTTTAAGTGAAAAAAATGAAGTACAATGAAAAGTCACATAATAGTGCTGAGAGTCACAATATGCCTTCTGAAACACAAAAATAATGTCAATACAAGTTTTTGGTAAGGTTTGGGAATGAGCTACTTACCTTTCAATGGCTAGTTCTTTGTTAGAAAGTTGCTGCACTGTAATCACAACTTTCTTCTCTATTCCTTGCTTTAACTTGAAATAAAATTTATCTCTATCCTTAGGCACTGGACTGAAACATTAAAAAGAACAAGAATTACCAATACAGTAATACAATAAAATAATAACATGATCCAGGATTCGAATACAACAAAGTATGTAAACAACAGCACTCTTGAGATGTACTGAACTCATCTTCCCACAAGTAGCAAACTATTTATAGTAAGCAATATAACTTCTACTTACTTTTGAGTTGGATTTATAGGAGTCTTACATTTTATCTCCTAACCAAGATTAAAATAAAGATCTAAAATATGACAATTTCAGTTAATATCAAATTTTAACTAATTTTAATATATTACATATTTAATTTTTTAAGACAATCACATTTCTGATTTAGCTCTTGGTGTAACCAGGAGCACCCAAAACAAAGTGAAACCCAAGGCAAACACAGAAAGAACAACTTACTTTCAGACACGTAAAATTTGAGATGATTCTGATACATCCAAATAAACAATGGATAAAGATACAGATCACAGAAAGTTAGTCAAAATCTAGCCAAAGCCAAACAAACTATTCCTAAAACAAAATATTAATTAAAACAACAAACATAATTTGAACCTCTACTTATGGCACTGGTTAAAGATTTGAGAACCAGACTTCTGTTTTTTTTGGACGCGACCTATGTCCATCCATTGCTATTGACGGTGACTGGAAATATTAGTGTGTAAATAAGTTGTGTTTAGTCAAATGACCTCTGCAGGCACACTCAGAATGAGGTTGTGATCCATGGCAACATAAGAGCATTTCACTGCTTTCAAGGCTTCTTAGGAAGAATTCCCGAAGGCTTCTTAGGAAGAATTCCCGATTCTTATAGCCGGTAGGCCCAATGAGATGTTTCACTTATCTCATTGAACTAAAGAAAAGTAGCTTATCAGGAAAGAAAAACATTCTGAGCAACTTGTTTGCCCAGACACCATTTCTTTATCTGTAAAAATAAAGATAAAACACCTATACAGTGCCAGGTGCTGCTGGCTCGTGTATATAATCATAGCTACTCAGGAGGCTGAGATCTCATGATTTCAAGCAAGCCCAGACAGGAAAGTCTATAACTCTTATTTCCGGGCTGGGAAGGTGGCTCAGTGGTAGAGCGCTTGCCTTGCGTGCCTGAGGCCCTGGGTTCGATTCCTCAGCAGCACCACATAAGCAAAAAGAAAAAAAGCCAGAAGTGGCGCTGTGGCTCAAGTGGTAGAGCGCTAGCCTTGAGCTGAAGAGCTGAGGGACAGCGCCCAGGCCCAGAGTTCAGGCCCCACGACCCGACCCCCCCAAAAAAAACTCTTACTTCCAATGAACCAGCAAAAAGTCAGCAGTAAAGCTATAGCTCAAGTGGCAGAGCATTAGTCTTGAACAAAAACATTAGGGAACAGTATCCAGGTCTGAGTTCAAAATTCAAGCCCTAGTACCCACACCAAAAACAAAGCCAAAAAAACAACCTGCCCAGCAATTTTTGTTAAAATTAAAGACACAAATAAGGCATATAAATGATCACTGAATAGTATGTTTCCTATTCATTGTTTTTGAACTAGAGAAAAAATACACTTCTTTATTTTTGAGTTAATGTTTATATGTAATGAGGGAGATTCATTGTGATATTTCTATACATGCACAAAGGGTAAATTCCTCCAACTATATTCCTATTCTACTTCTCTCCCTCTCCCTTTTTCAAAAAGTGTTTGTTGGGTTCCACTATGCTTTTCTCACTGATCTCCTCCCAGATAGTCCCACTTTTATATCATGTCACAATACCATTACTATCATCAGCAGCAGCAGCAGCAGCAGCATTTTAACCCTATACTCCACTAATGAAAAAGAACTTCAAAAATTTGGCTAAGTTTCACTTATCTCATTGAACTAAAGAAAAATATTTTAAACAGGTATTTTTGGTGCCAGAACTGGGGCTGAACTCAAGGCCTAGGCACTATCCTTTAGCTGGTACTTTATTACTTGAGCCACAGCTCCACTTCCATCTTTTTACTGGTCAATTGGAAACAAGAGTCACACAGACTTTCCTGCCCAGGCTAGCTTTAAACTGCAATCCTGGGATCTCAGCATCCTGAGTCCCTAGGATTATAAGCATGATTAACCAGTGCCTGGCCTAAACAATTATTTTAATTAAGAAAATTTTACTAAAGCAAAAAGAATTGGAGGTATGGTTAAAGTGCCAAGCAAGTTTAAGACCCTAGTTCAAATTCTAGAAAACCAAGAAAAAAGAACTTATTAATAGATATCACTATAAAGAAAATGGAAATTAATATAATGGAATTAAGGGGAAATAATATATTAATTAAAAAAGTCATAAAATTAAAAGAAAATGTATTTATAAAGTGAACAAAAAAAATCCTGTTAGAAATAAAGGGGACAAAATGTTAAGTGATTCTCTATGGCTGGCAAGTTTACATCTATTATACTTTTACCATTTTACTAAATGTTATATAACAATATCAATATATTTTAATCACTAAGAGAGCAATTTAAATATCTGAAAATCATGATAACAGTGTAACAATCAATCACCAGTCAAACATTTACTTACATTGAAAGCTTTATGTCAACACTTCAAGAAACTGTGTTAGTCATATTATATTTTAGGTACAAAATTCTTTCCAAATAACCTCACCTAAAATTTCCTTTTCCATCATCTTCTTTTACCTCCAAAGAAACACTGAAGGTAAACACATCACTGTCAGGGGTTGGAATAATCGAGTCTTTAACATCAGACACTTGTCTAGAAGAACGTTTGAAGGCTGTACAGAAACTATATAAAATTCTGCTTACCTAAAAAAATAAAAGTTGGAATATTATTAGACACAGATTTTTAACTGCATTTTGATATCCTTCTCTCCTAATTTGAGTCTTTAACTTTCATTACAGTATATATAAGCATTTATTGTTTAACTATTACATAATAAAATTTTCATCACTTATGCATTAAAGAAGAGTAGGTATACAACTGCGTATGATAAATGTAGACCACCCTAACACTGTGTTATTATACCTAAAAACTAAAGTCAATGTGAAGTTCAAGAAGGAAAGTAATGCTAAAGTATTCCTCAAAAGGTAATTCAATTTCATAGAATTTTTTACTTGGGGGAAATTAGTAATAGGACATGATTTCACAGGAATGATGCTCAAGTATGTTTGTTTTTAAATACATACTTGTAGTACAAAAGTAGATAACATTAGTATAAACACTAGAATTCAGAAGAGAACTAACATTTAGAAGTTGCAAGTATGATCTAGGCATCCTGAGAATCAAGGGAAACAAGTGTGTTGAGGTCCAGTCCAGAGAGACAATAACCATGACTGAACTCTCCCATCACAAAAATGCATGAGACAGTGGGTGCTGGTGGTTCATGTCTGTAATCCTAGCTACTCAGGAGACAGAGCTGAGGATCATGGTTTGAAGCCAGCCTGGGCACAAAAGTCTCTAAGACTCATCTCCAATACTATTCAGAAAAAGCCAGAAGTGGCACTGTGGCTCAAGTGATAGAATGCTAGCCTTGAGCATAAAGAGGCTCCAGTATAGTACCTAGGCACTGAGTAAAAGCCCTAGGACTGGGGGGGTGAGGTGGGGGTGGTGGCATGAGAAGGATCAGGAAAACAATAGTACCAAGGGGATCCTTTCACTAATGTACAAAATTTTCTTTGAAAAGGATCTCAGCTAGTATCTAATGAAAAAAAAAAACTAAGATTTCCTTGAAAGACACTACTTAGATTTAGAATATATTTATATAAATATAAGTTGTCAGGAAAAACTTACTCTCTAGAGCAAAGAATATTTTAGTCATAATACTTTCTCCCCAATATAGAAAGCCGGGATCTCTATGGTTCCATAGACTGAATGGGTTAGCCTTCCCTTAGAGATTGTACATGTTATTTACTGCCATCAGTCAATAGTGCACAGCCTTTTATCTACAAGTTGCATTTCTATAATGTTACTTCAGTTGATTTTCCATGATAACCTTATAAAGTAGGCCTAAGCAATATCTGGAATATGTCTTGAAAATTAGTAAAGTGGTGATAAATCAAAACTCTTGATTGAAGGCTTTGTAAGGAGCTGCTCTGTAAGGTTATTCAGTTTCCTGCTGTCGATGAACTCCTTTCAAGGAGTTATAAAAACTCAAGCACAATCAATGTATATATATATATATATATGTATGTATATATATATATACATACATATATATATATATGCTAGACTATATGTGTTTAAGTAAGTTCATATTGAGGAACTACAGCATTACTAGAAAATATTTAACTTAAAAAGTGATCTTTCAGATATTTGTTTCTTTCAACTCTAGCATTTAAACATGATAATAAAGATGAACTAATTTAAGTTCACAAAAGAGGCTTCCAAATATACTGTGCTGCTGGACGCTGGTGGCTCACACATATAATTCTAGCTACTTAGGAGGCTGGGATCTTAGGATCCCAGTTTGAAGCCAGACAGGACAGGAAAGTCTATGAGACTCTTATTAACCACCAAAATGCTGAAAGTGGAGTTGTTGCTTAAGTGATAGAACACCAGTCTTTAGTGAAAAAGCTACAGGAAAATGCCTCAGGCCTGAATTCAAGTCCCAGTACTGACATCAAAGTTATAATAACAATTATACTGTAAAATATTGTAATGAATGGATCCTAAGAGAACTACTAAAATGAGGTTAACATCTACATCTTCCCAATGAGTACTCATAAATCAGAGTTTAGCTCATCTTCAATTTCTCTTTTTAATTCCCTCAATTCTAGAGGGCTACATAATGAGCTACAGAACAAAAACAAATTCTAATTTTAGTAATAAACATATATGACAATAACATGGTTTAAAGACATTCAAGCATTTTTCATCAATGTTGTAGTGACACAAAAGTACTAAAATATTCTCACAATGAATAGTGAAATGCTCAGTCTAGTTTATTAGTATTGGATCAATCTAGTGCTACTATGTAGAACACAGAAATGGAACTTAGATTCTAAATATAAATATAGAATTTACATCCCAAATATTAATGTTTGCACACACACATATATACACATATATACATACATATGATTCATACATTTCCCCTAAAGTGGCAATTCAGGTGTGAGCTTGAAGCACAAAGACCCCAAATTTCTTGGCCTAGCCAAGACTTAAATAATGAAATTAATGGTGAAACAAGAGGGTAAATAAAGGTCCTATTTTCATTATTTCATATAGGGAAGTACAGTAAAGAGATTTCTCTGAGTACTGAATATTAACAAATCTTTCACTTTTGAATCAAAATATCATTAGATGTATTTTATTAATCTGGGAACACATGTTTTATAACTTGCATGAAATAAAACTGCCTTAAATAATAGAATTTGCGGGGCTGGGGATGTAGCTCTGTGGTAGCATGCTTTCCTAGCATGCAAGAGGTCCTAGCATCACCAAAGGTAGTGAGAGTAGAATCTACTCAAGTATGGGGATTTTATGTTACTATTTTTGTTTTATTCATACATTCTGATATGAACATTTTCCTGTGTATACATAGTCTATCACATTGAAAATAAGTAATTCTCTATCTTACACAGCCATGCTTTCATCCATTAAGAGATAAGCCTAAACTACACAGCATTTCCAATGACAGATTAATGCTTTGTTAAATTAAGTGATTACTAGTTTTCTTAAAAAGAAAATTTTGAACAATCTCATAGAAATGTTCCTATCAGACTAATTCAAGTTCCAACTTGTAGTGGCACCATATTTATATCACAACATACATAAAAATAGAAAAATATTTTACTGTTACCCCATTATAACCTAACAAAGCAAAAACAAAAAGCAACAAAGGATTTATATTAATATGCATTTAAGACATACATAAAGTCACTCATTTGGTAAGTTTTTGAGTACCTTCTGTGTACAAAGTATTACTTAGGTGCTAGAGATTACAGAAAAGAATGTGAGACCTATATTCAACAAATATAACCTAAATGTGTTGTGAGTAGATAAGAAATCATTAGTAAAGTCAAAAGCAGAAATATTTTCCATGAGCTGAAAAGTTTTTAGATGAAGCCCAATGTTAAGTGTTAGGAAGAACATGTTAGGAAGAAAACAGAATCCAAGAACATGCTATAAATATGACATTGAATATTTCATCCAAAACACAGTAAATAAGGATTTACTTTTAGTCATTTGGCCATGTCCTACTTCCCACCCAAAATAAAATGTTTTAAAATAAAATAATTATATAGTCAACTTCCTTATTTTTCCATATAAGTGAATGAGTACCTTGACATAGTTTGGTATAAATTAATAGGCGCAAATAGAGTCAAACAATATTTATTCTTATTCCCCATCTCTTTTCTAATCCTTTCAATTTCTTTGTGTAAGAAATAACAGCAAAAATGGGCACCAATGGCTCATGCTGGTAATCCTAGCTACTCAGGAGGCCAAGATCTGAGGATCATAGTTAGAAGCCAGCCCAGAAGAAAAGTCTATGAAACATGTATCTTCAATTAACTACCAAAACAACTGGAAGTGGAGTGTGGCTTAAGATGTAGAATGTTAGCCTAGAGCACAAAAGATGAGAGTTTAAACTCTAGGACCAGCACAAAAAAAAGAGAGAGAGAGAGAGAGAGAGAGAGAGAGAAGAGAAGAGAAGACATGGGCTGGGAAGGTGGCTCAGTGGTAGAGCGCTTGCCTTGCATGCCTGAGGCCCTGGGTTCGATTCCTAAGCACTACATAAGCAAAAAGAAAAAAGCCGGAAGTGGCACTGTGGCTCAAGTGGTAGAGCGCTAGCCTTGAGCTGAAGAGCTGAGGGACAGCGCCCAGGCCCAGAGTTCAGGCCCCATGACTGGGCCAAAAAAAAAAAAAAAAAGAGAAGACATACACAGCACACTTACAACACCAGAAGACCACACCAAAGAAAGTAAAAGAATTTAACAAATTCTAAAAAGATGTCAAGGCTTTAGGAATTTCTTCTTGAAAGGTTGTTTGTGAGGTTGAACCAGAGTAGTATTATTGAAAAATAAATTTAAAATCAGCCTGTACCCTTCTCTCTTTCTGAAAACAATATCCAACAGTGTACTGCAGTTCACAACAGCCATCCAACTACATATCATATGTTTAGCAAGTTGCTATTTCCACAAAAGAGATTAAAAATCCTTTTTAAATTCTATAGTGTAAGAATAGGCTGAAATGACAATACAAAGAATGGCAAGGTAAATTTCAGAAAAATGACTATAGATGTCTATGATTCTTGAGACCAATTGGATAATCAACTACACAAAGAAAATTTAAAATACATATGATGTCAAATACTTCAAAACATATCATATTAAAATACATAGAGGCAAAAAAATCTAAACAGCACTTTCTTTGCAGAGGGAAAGGTTTATTGACCGTAATAATATAGTACAATTCTTTTCCCCAGAAAACAGAACCTATAGGAATACTAATAAACACAAAATTGTGTATCTGGATGCATTTGCCGCTGTTGTTTATAAAAAGGTGGGAAGGAAACACATATAAATATGTGAAAGAGAAATATACCAAAATCTTAACTGTAATACAACTTCAATCACCTATTATTTTCTTCTTTATTTCAGTATCTTCCAAATTCTCCAAGTATATCACATGGTGAAAGTTCAAGTAATGTTATTAAATAACAAAGGTATTTATTTAAAATAAATAGAGCTGGCTTTTCCACAAGAAATCCTTTCTATTAACATTGGTTTATGATCATCTTCTCTTTCAGAAACATCATATTATCAAGAAGAAACAAATGTGGAAAAAACCATTCTATGAAAATAGGTATGTGCTAGTAGATATGATGGTAAATACCTATAAGCCAGCTACTCAGTAGGCAGGAAAATCATGAGTTCACGGTCAGCCTGGGCAAAAGTTGGCAAGTATCTTTCTTTTTTTTTTTTATCTGTGTCAGTGTTTGGGGCTTGCACACTGGGCCTGAGTACTGTCACTGAGCTTTTGTAGTCAAGGCTAGAACTCTACCACCTAAGCTACAGCTCCACTTCCAACTTTTTGGTAGTTAGTTGGAGATAAAAGTCTCACTCTCACAGCTTTGCTACCAACAGCAATCCTCAGATCTCAGCCTCCTGAGTAGTTAGAATGACAGTCGTGAGCCACCAGCACCTAGGGACCAGGCTCTATCTTAAAAACAAAAGAATTAGCCAGGTGCTGGTGGCTCAAGCCATACAGCCAAATATCCTATCATGCTATAATCCTAGCTACTCAGCAGGAGAGGATTCAGGTTTGAAGGCAGCCCAGGCAGGAAAGTCCACAGTAGACTCTTATCTTCAATCAACCATCAAATGGCCAGAAGTAGATCTATGGAGCAAGTGGTAAAATGCTAGCCTTGAGTACAAAAGCTCAGTGACAGCTCAGGGATAATGCTCAAGCCCTGAGTTCAAGCACCAGGACTGGAATTGGAAGGGGAAAAAAAAAAGGACTAGCAGTTTGGGTCAAGTGGTAGCTTGCCTACTATGTGTAACACCCGATTTTCAATCCTCAATATTAAAGAAAGAAGAGAGGAATAAGGGAAGGAAGGAGGGAGTAGCATGTGCTAAACCTTTCTCAAATACATTACTCACTAAATCTTATAAAAATCAGCTTCAAGAAAATACTAACAAGCAAACTTCCTATATACCTTCTAAAATAAGGTATTTAGCTAAAATACCATCTCAATTTTAGAAATATTTTTGCATGCTAAAAAAGATTTTCTTTTATATAATAGCATACTGGCAAGCCAAAAAAAAAAAAAATGCTGCATTAAGAATTAAGATCTTATGTCAGTATAACATGTGGAGGAGATGGGGACAAACAAGTCGTTTAAGGATTCAGGTGGACCTGTTGCAACAATGAGAAGTACAAAAAGTCATGTCAAAACCAGCTTTACAATGTCGGTAGGGGGGGGGAAGGGGGGTATGATTGGGTGGGAGGGAGGGGGGAGGCTGGGAAGGGAGGTGAAGGGTAAACAAAGGAGGAGGCTGCAATGCTTGGTAAGAAATGTATGCATTATCCTGCCCATGTAATTGTAACCCCTCTGTACAGTATGTTCTCAAATAAAATAAAATAAAATTAAAAAAAAAAAAAAAAAAGAATTAAGATCTTAGCTACTCAGGAGGCTGAGATTTGAGGATCTCTGTTCAAAGCCAGCCCAGACATTCTCTTATCTCCAATTAACCAGCAAAAAGCAGAACTGGAGCTGTGGCTCAAGGGATAGAACACTAGCCTTGAGTAAAAGAAGCTCAAAGAGAGCACCCAAGCTCCCCCAAAAATTAGATCTTACTGGTGGAGATGTGGGTCATTGGGAGCTATCAGGAGGCTCTGAATTCAAACTCACCATTAGTTCTCCCTCACAAAAAAAAATGTTCAGCTAGGAGCTGTTGGCTCATTCTTCTAATCCTAGCTACTCAGGAGAGTCTGAGACCTGGAGGATCATAATTCAAAGGCAGCTTGGGCAGAAAATACCTCAAGACTCCATTTACCAATTAAGCAGCAAAAAGGAAGGCTGGAGGCATGTCTTAACTAGTAAAGTACCAGCTATGTTGAAGCAAGCTGATCTAGAGTGTGAGAGCCTGAATTCAAGTCCTAGTATTCATATTCTCTCTCTCTCTCTCTCTCTCTCTCTCTCTCTCTCTCTCTCACACACACACACACACACACACACACACACACACACACACACACACACACACACACACAATCTTGTCAGGAATGATGGCATGTGTTATCTTGACCTCAGGATATTGAAGTGGAATGATCCTAAGCTCAAGGCTAGTTTGGGCTACACAGCAAAAATAAAACCACTGACATTTATCATCAAATACTTCAAAATGAATATAACAACCAGAGGGGGAAAAAATAACAAGCTTGTAAAATACAAAACTGAGAGTTCCTTGTATTGATAATTACTTTTAAAACATCAAGGTCTTCTTGGAAGAACTGTTATTTTAGCTTATAGAATTAAAATTATAGAATCAATTAAGCCTCTTTAAAGTATCTTTTCAAAGTTTGTGTGATATATCTGTAAATATATAACAAACAGTGTTTCATCTCTGGCCTTCTTTTTTTCCACTGATTCGGTATTTTTTGTCTTGCAATACTTCAGCAGAAGCCTGCCACATCACTCTTTCTACAAAGGTCACTGACATTAAGATTTACTTCTCATTGGATAGTCCAACTCTTGTCACACATTAAAGAGACCCAGTCCAGAGCACTTGTGTGTGTGTGTGTGTCTTTGTTTAATTCGTAACAAAGCCTGACAGACAGGTGTAAATAGTAAGTCCTTTTTTCCAATCCAGAACTCATTGCTGAGTAGGAGATTGTGGTACATGTGAGAAGGAATATGATTCCTACAACAGTTGGCACTGTGGGAGTTTGTTAACTCACACAGGTTGGCTCTGAGAATATAGTTGATGTAAAAGATAGACAGACAGAGAGAGAGAGAGAGGAGAGAGAGAGAGAAGAGAGAAGAGAGAGAGGAGAGAGAGAGGAGAGAGAGAGAGAGAGGGGAGAGAGAGGAGAGGGAGAGAGGGAGAGAGAGAGAGAGAGAGAGAGCACCCCAATCCAACAAGATCCTACAGAATAATAACCAAGGTAATGAGTCAAGTATGTCCTGAGGCTACAATGGGAAGCCCTAATCCTTGCATCACAGAAAGCCATTACCCTCCCTGGGCCTCTCTTTCTACAATAGCTGGTGCCTTCTGCTTGAAGGGTTTTAGAGTGAAATAGGAATATCACAGTGATAGCTGGTAGTAGCAGTAATGTTGTTACTCCAACTTGACAAAGCATCTTCTTGCCTATAATGGAAAAAATTCTTCAGATATCATCCATGGATTCTGTTTTTTAAAAAAAAGAGGAAAACAATAAAATTAATGGCATTACTACACAGTATGTTCCTAAGTGATAAGAATGTTTATCATTGAGTTCCTTAACTATCAGTGCCAGCTGCTTGTGCTTCAAATACTAAGGACTACAGTTGTCTCTTTACTACAAGAAAGGAACCTCTGGATATCAGATAACCAGAGTTACTTCAGACTAATTACAAGTATAATTATATCTTGAATGAAGATAGAGGAAGGTTGACAGCTTCTCTAAAAGGTCCAAGTAAACCACAATGTAGCTGGAATGTAAAATATATAGCTGACAAATACATTTATAAAATATAAGTGTGCACAAAAATAGACACTTGTAGTTTGTAATAAGAAAGTTGTTTCTGATAAAAAAAAAAAAGGGCTATGTAGCTCTTCAGCAATGAAAACTTCAGTTTGAAACCTAGTTCAATAATCAATTCTCTTAACCTCAGGAAAAACCTGATTATCACTCAAACCAGAAAAAATACATTTGAGAATAACTAGAAAGGTATCAGTAATATGGCTGGACAATGGGCATAAAGTGGGAGTGCTCTAAACAAAGAGAAACATAAGGTCATTTTTATATATAAATACTACTCACGCCATGAGATGTGTGACTCTCATGCAACTGTTTAATCCAATGTCTAGTATAAACTCTCTACTGATACTGGTTACCCTTCATTGAGAAATAATGTCTGATGGCCACTTTCACTAATTTCTTCTATGTATCTCACCACCAGTGCCCCACAACAGAATACTTTCAAATAATGTATTAGAAACAAATTATATATGTGGAAACTACTTTCTCACAATCTAGAATGTACCAAATATGCTCTCCAGAAATATAATACTATTCCATACTATATCCAAAACAACAAAGCCACAAATTTCTAAATTTGTTCTAATGCTTACTCAGGGCTAAAGCAACAAGTAGATTCTATGATCCCAAAAAGAAAATTTCATACCATTACATTTAGAGAAAATGCTTGTAGCAAGGTCCCTTTGGATTTCATTCTAAAGCAGTTTCTCTCTTCAAGAAACAGGTTCTTCAGTTCTTCAAAGTTCATTTCCCTGCTGTTGGGCTCCAATAATCCAGTAGCCATATAGGTGTGTTAAATGATGGCTGCCAACATGAAATGCCAGGACTCTACCATCTGCTTCCCCACCTCTGTAGTAGAGTTTGCATGGACCAGAAAAAGCCCCCCTCATTCATAATACACACATACCTCTTTCAACATACTTAGATCCATTCCTACTGTGTACCAGGCACAATAGCAGCACACTTAATACTTATTTACTGTCCTATCTATCACACCTTTTTTAATAAATCAGTATATACAAAGAAATCTAAGTGCTGGGATAAAAGTGTTTAGATTAAAACCTTCCTTAAAAATAAGACGAACTTTTCACACAAATATGAATCCTGGCATAGAATTCCTATGGCTACAATTTCAATTGTGTGCCTACAGATGTTCAGTTTAGCATTAAACAAACTAGACACCAGGATAAAATCACTGACACATCCATTATGCTTGAATCATACCTGGTATCAGGCTCATAGAGATCTACATTTCTAAGAATTCTCATTTTATAAGCAAAAGTAAACTTTCAAGACTCCTGCTAATACAACGGTTTATTCACATTTCAATGGAAATTTAAGAATAAACATCGCTTCTAGCATTTTTTAGGGACAACTTATATTTTTAAAAGCAAACATACATGAAATCTTGTCCATCTAAACTAACTTATTAATGCCTTTGGTCAAGTGTTTGAAGTACTAAACTTCTATTAGTAAGTTGGTTTTTTTTGTTGTTTTTTGTTTTCTTTTTTGTCGTGGGGCTTGAACTCTGGGCTTGGGCGTTGTCCTTGTGCTCTTCAGCTCAAGGCGAGTGCTCTACCACTTGAGCCACAGCACCACTTTAAACCTCTAATAGTACAACTTATTTTTATACTTGGGAGAAATTCAATGAATACAGAAAGGAAGGATATTACTCATGTATTTAATACCTACTTGATTCTATTCTGTTGAAACTATTTCTTCAACATAAAAATAAACCACATTAATAATTGCTAAAAACTTACTGCCATCTTCAAAGGACTACAAATCAATAGCCCTGTTCTATAGGCATATTTATATTTTTAATTAGGCAAGTTTTCCAAGCAAAATCCAGTCTCCAAGTGATAACCAGTAAGCACATGTGAAAACCACAAAGATCTGTGAAATAATATTGGTGAAATATCTAAGTGAAACCAATATGCAACTATCAAGTACATGAAAGAAACAATATTTTTACAAGCACTTTCCTAAAACCACACGGACTAATCTACTTGAGTAAAAGTATATGAGGTATGACAATATTCATCCTTTCTGACCATAAACAATTATTACTATCATAGTCAGGGAGAACAGTTCATTTGGTAGTGTTTTTCTACTATATCAGCAAAACTTTACGTATGCCCTAACTAAAATATTTTAATGCATGCACATATCAGATTTACCCTTCCATTTTAAGATCTATGCCATTACAAATATTAACTTTGTCTTTAGAAACACTTTTCAGGTTCATATAATGTATTCATATGACAGAGAACAGAAGAATTCAAGATTACCCTAATCCATCTCTAGAGAAAATTGCTACACGATATTATACTTACTGCTTCTTTAATTTCACAGGAAAAAATATGTATCTGAAATTCTTCTGAACCATGGGAACTCTCTGTAAATGCAAAGCAATTGCTCTCCGTTGTTCCATCATGCCCACGTGCGCAGAATAACACCTTATAGATTGGAAAAGATGCTATCTCCAAATTGTTTGATTGGTTTATAATTCTGAAGAACAGTGGCAAAAAAAATGGTAAAATATTATCAAAGACAAATAGCTTTACTATGCTAATATATGACATATAAACAAAAGTATCTTTTTTAAAAAAAATCACAAGCAAAAAAAAAAAAAAATCACAAGCATAAGTACAAAGAAATCTAGAAAGCAAATTATTTTTGTATTGTTGAAAATGTTAAAAAACACACATCTTATCTTCTGTTGTCAATTTCTTTATTATTGAATTTAAGATCCAACTCTGACTCAAAATAACTGGAGCAAAATTGGCAAAATGCATTGTCACTCAACCCTAAAGTCAGGTCTTACTCTGCTCAAAGGAATGTTAGTATAGAATAGCACAGATCATTCCCACATTTGTGGAAAGTCTATTTCCAGAGCAGTATCTATGAATTTATTTATCCCTATTATTATTATTATTTGAGACATCTTTCATCTTACTAAAATTCATATGGTCCGAGGATAGACACAACAACAGAATAGGAGTTGAAAGGAGTTTCTGAAATTTAGAAACAAATAATTCTCTGAGTATCCTTGTACACATTCTATGTGCCTTGGACTGATCTAAGCATTGAAGACCCCTTCAAGATCTCAAACTCAGGCTGGGAAGTTGGCTCAGTGGTAGAGCACTTGCCTTGCATGCATGAGGCCCTGGGTTCAATTCCTCAGCACCATATAAGCAAAAAGAAAAAAGCCGGAAGTGGCGCTGTGACTCAAGTGGTAGAGTGCTAGCCTTGAGGTGAAGAGCTGAGGGACAAGCACTCAGGCCCAGAGTTCAGGCCCCACGACCGGACTCAAAAAAAAAAAAAGATCTCTAACTCCTTGTTTGGCAAATGGATTCTAAATAGATAACATTAAGATATGTTTTTATATAAGAAGTATTTATATAAAATACTTTCCTGAAAAGCTCAAAGCATTTTTTTCAAAACTTTGTAAATTTATCTTGCTATTACTTTTGTACTTTTAAGTTAGCTATCATTCTCTAGATTTTGAACCACTATTACATAAGCTAACTACAAGTTATATGCTCCTTCAGAACAGAAAAGTATCAGTTACAAGAATGTTTTTATTAATTTTTTCTGGTCCTGTGGCTTGAACTCTGGATTTCTGCACTGTCCCTGAACTCCTTTTGCTCAAGGCTAGCACTCTACCACTTGAGCCACAGCACCACTTCCAGTTTTTTCTGAGTAATTTATTGGAGATAATTGTCTCATAGGCTTTCCTACCTGACTGGCTTCAAGCTGTGATCCTCAGATCTCAGCCTCCTGAGCAGCTAGGATTACATGCATGAGCCACCAGCACTAGCTACAAGAACATATTTTTATTTCCACTAATACTCTCCTAAGGCTAACTCTGCAAATACCCTCTTGTAACTAGAAACATAGTCTATAAGCATAATGTTTACTTTATATGTGTAGAGTCTAAATGAATTCTTCTATCTGATTTATTATATATCACCCTCACCACCACTCAAAAATTTAATATATGCCTAAAGAAAAAATATTAGATTTACCTCACAGAACCTTCTGGGACATTTGGCACATACAAAGTAACAGGAAAAGGGTTCTGACTGGAAGATTTCATGGTTGCCATTGCCCGTAAAGCTTCTACTTCATTACGTGGGGACGAAACTTTCATATATCCTAAATAGGTCAGTTTATTAAATAAGACACTATCTTCTTCTGGTAGCCCACTTGGAGAAGATGGTCTGGGTGTAGGTATTTCTGAAATAAAAATAAAAAGAATAAAAACACTCAAAAGTTAATAAAAAAAACTACACAGGTTATTTTTTGCCAAATGCTCAAAAAGAAATGAAACATTTCAAACAAAATTTAGATTTTTCTGTATCTTCATTTCTTCTATTGTTAATACTAAGGCTTAATTCAAAATTCCAGAGTTGGTCATGTTTTAATTTTAAAACTCTTCAAATATTACTTTATTCAACTAATTTCTTTTAAGGAAAGAAAAACTTCAGGCCTTATATGTAACAAAAAAAATGGAATTCAAGTGATTCAATTACAACAAAAGGAAACTATACTAAAGACAGTGTAATTAATGGAAAATAATAGAAATCAAAAGTAAAGTCAGTGAAGATACCATTGGGTACAGATTGTTTCCATAGCTCCACATGTACAAACCAGTCAGCTTCCTAACCACAAGTAAACAATACTAAAATATGGATAACAACAAAAGCCAAGTACATAATTTCTTCTTTACTGGCTTGCTGGCTTCTATGAACTATTTAAGTGTTCAAATGTAATTCTTTTTCTTCTAGTTGTTTCTAATTGAATGACTCTGTTATCTTCACCCAATTCTACTTCTTCCCCATAATAAATTTAAGAGGAAAATAAACTTAAATTCTAGTTATAACATGAAGCAGAGGTCCAATTTACGATTATAGAGTATCTATTTGCATGGTAGTATAACATTATCCCTGCCCCTACCTGAAACACATATTCATCTATCTCCACACCTATACAAAATTAGGCATAGCTGTCTCACTTTAATTACATTCTTGGAGCATCTTCAAATTCTTAGTTATCAGGATTCTATTTTAAAAGATTTTTACAAGTAAATCACAATAGCCATTTATCAAAGTTCCCCAGTCCAAATCCTAGATATATATTAAAATAACCTCACCACCAATTTATCTCATGGTATTCTCACTTTTGAGTCCAATGTACTAAATCATCAAAAGGAGAAATAAAATTCTACAAATTAAACTGAGCATTTTGACACACATCGATAATCCCAACATTCAGGAAACTAAGGAAGAATGATCATGAGTTTAAGGCCAGCCTAGACACAAAATAAGTTCAAAATCATACTGAAAGACAAGGTGAGACTTTGTCTTTAAAAAAGCCAATGAATAAATGGGTAAATAAACTGAACCATTTTAAGTTATAACTGGCCAATCAATATATGGAAAAATGTCAAAACAACCTGGGTGAGATTTCATCTCACCCAGTCAGATTGATTATCATCAAGAACAAATAAAAATAAATACTGGTAAGGAGGATAAAAAGAGGAAAAGGAACCCTTATATACAATTGAGGAGAACGCAAATTTGTGCAGTCACCATGAAAATGGAAATAAGGATGAACATGGGTAATGCGGGTAAAATGGGACATTAAAAAGTATTCAATCAGACTGGGAATGTGGCTGAAGTGGTAGAGCACACTCTTGAGCAAAAGAAGCTCAGGGACAGTGTCCAGACCCTGATTTCAAGTCCCATGACTGGCAAAAAGAAAAAATATTACTCAATCAGCCAGCCACCAGAAGCTCCTGCCTGTAATCCTAGCACTCAGGAGGCTAAGATCTGATGATCTCAGTTCAAAGCTAGCTCAGGCAGGAAAGTCCTTAAAACTCTCATGTCCAATTAACCACCAAAAAGCCAGAAGTGAAGCTGTGATTCAAGTGGTAGAGCACTAGCCTAGAGCACAAAAGCTCAAGGACAGTACTCAGGCCCTGAGTTCAAGCCCCAGGACCAGCATAAAAATAACAGACAAATAAATAAATAAATAAATAAATAAAACCACTCAATCAAAAAGGCAAGAAAATAGAAGAGAAACAAAATAGAAGCCAGAAGGAATAATGAGGAAACAAGGTGTAAAGTACCTACATCCATCTAAACTTTTTTTAAAAGCACATGGCCAGAGGTTGAGGGGCATAGATCAATGGTAGTTTGATTGCCTACCACGTGTGAGGCCTTAGGCTCAATCCCCAGCACCACAAAAAAAAGTTGTTAAATAGAGGAGTTATAAGCATTTTTTTAAACGCCAAATGACAAATATTTTAAACTTTGTGGGTCAAGAGGCAAATCTAGGTTATTCTCTAGGTATTAATCCAATAAGAAAAAAACTTGTACAGATTATTTTAAAGAAAAGCAAAACTTTATAATCTCAAATTTGAATATTAGTGCAACTTTCCTGTGTCACAAAGTATTATTCTTTTTTTGATGTATTTTCAACCATTTAAAAATGTGGAAGAAAAACCAGCTAGTATCCTCTAAGCTACTCAGGAAGCAGAGACCAGGCATATTTCAGTTCTAGGGAAGTTCAGGCAAAAAGTTTACAAGACCCTATCTCATAGTACAGCTGGTCATGGTGGCACACCTTGTCATCCCAGCTACATGGGAGGCTAATGGAGAAGAGTACAGTTCCATTCCAGGCCCAACAAAAAGTTGTGAAAGACTCCATGTCAACAGAAAATTAGGGGTTGAGAGTAGGGCATCCTTGCTATTGGTTAGAAGTGTAAGTAAACAGGAAGACTGTGGTACAGACAAACCAGCCAGGGCAAAACAAACAAACACCAAGACTTTATCTCAAAAAGTAACCACAGAAAGCTGGGCAGAAAAGTTTCGTTCTATCTCCAAAATAATCAGCAAAAAGCAAGGCTGAAGTTATGGCTCAGAGATAAAGTGCTAGTCAAGCAAGTGTGAAGTCACGAGTTCAAGCTCTATTAGTATCAAAAATAGTAGTAGTTATAATAACAATTAGAGCAAAAAGGGCTAGAAATGAGGCCGAAGAAAAAGTACCTGCCTAGTGATCACAAAACCCTCAGCACAAACCACAATATTATACACAAAAGAAAGGTAAGAACCATCCTTAACTGCAAGCCGTATCAAAACAAATAGCAGGATTTAGCCCATAGAGTATAGTTTGTTGACCATGCCTAAACAGTAAAAGACTGAAAGTTATCTACAAAACACACTTAAAAGGCACAATATGTTAAAAAGTTATTTTAACAGAAAAATATAAGTCAGCACTATAAAAAAAACTAGAGGAATTATATCAATATCAGGAAAGATAGGACGCAAAACAAGAAACATTTAACAAGAGAAAGGAGATATTTCACAATAATAAAATCATCAATTCATTGAGAAAACACAATTCTAGAAGAGTTAAGGCAAGATTGCAGATTAGAAGTATCTGCTATTTTCACTCTGTGAATGAGAATACAATGTGTCACAGAATAAAGCAGATTCTGGAGAGAAGAAGGAGGTGACAGGGAGGTAAAAAACTTCAGGGAAATATTCTCAACTGGAGAAAAGAAAGTACTCTGAGTAGCTTCTGGCTCCTACTATTAGATGGGAAATGAAAGATTACAAGATAAAATCAGATGGTCCTGCCTACAAACCACCAACCTAGCTCCAAGAAAAGCCCAAACAATCTGCAAGATTGTTAATTCCACTACAGGGATTTGTGAGGCATTGACTACCCCAGAGGAGTGTTTAGCCTTGGTGAAGAAAGGGATCTTGTGGCTCCTCTTTTGTGGAAAGAAACAGGAAGTTGCCATCTTGAGCCTGGGGCTAAGGAGTAACCATGGCTACATGACTCACAGGACATTTTCTATAGAATCTGGATGTAAGTTAGTCAAAAAAGATGGTTAAGAAGAAGGGAAGAAAGAAGTGCTTGACAATTTCCCTAAGGGAATCTCAAAGGCCGAAACACTGTCAGCTTAGTTTGATACCATAGGCTTAGGAAGGGAGGCTGGGGATTTCCTGCCAGGACAAACAGCAGAAACACAGAAGCTACTGTTGTTATCCATGGAGAACTGAAATGGCAACTCATAAGACCAGGCAGAGGCCACTATTTAGAAGCAGTTGAAACCCCAATAGGCAACACTCCAAACATCTGGTAGAGAAAGAAAGATCTCAGGGATGCCTTGTTGGGTCACAGAGCAAAGGCATTAACAGGCATCAGGGACTCTGAAGGGAGAGTTGAGGGGGAGGAAGTTCTCCAGTGGCTCTACCTTCGCAGGCTAGGAGAGAACTGCTTAAGTCTGAGGCAAGGGTAGACATGAACCTTTGAAGGAAATGTTCTGTTAAGTACTCACTATCCAGGGCCTGCTTCCTGGCTCTCTGTGCTGATAGCCTTCCCATCCAGCTCTACAAAATAGTGGGGTGTTCTTGCATCCCACCCAAGGAAAACAAAAAAAATCTGACCATGTTTAATATATCTATTTGTACTTGTTACTGCTATCTTGATTTCTTTCCTGTGTATCATTTAATTTTTAGTTTTTACTTTTCAGTGTAGGACATGTACCCCCTGTTCCTTCACTTTTCAATTTTGCTTCTCTCTTCTTTTCCTCCAAAGTCATCATATTTGTACCACAACACCTTCCTTTCAATATTTAATTTTGATTCATATTTCATACCCTTTTGATGAACCTTCCACATATATACTTTACTTCTCTCCACAAGTAGAGCAGGTTTTTTTTCTTGCTCATATTTCCTTCTATACCTGTTGCCCTATCACTAATCATTCCTTGTTACGTACATTTTTTCTTAGTAATTAGATTGCCCAAACATCCTTTCTTTTTTCTCTGGAGTTTTGTTGTTGTGTATTAGTTACTTTGAGTTTTTATATTTGCTTTGTTTTTGCTTTTCTTTCACCTTTCTTTTTTACTTTTTTGCTTGTATATGTGTGTATGCTTATTCAATTCTCTTCATTTCAGTCATCCTACCTCAACAAAATTAGCTCAATTTTTCTATTTTATTCTACTTTCTCATTCATCTCCTATTAAGCTTGGTCTTCCCACCTCTTCCTTCCCAATACAACCACACACCTAGATTATTCATTAGTGTCCCCACTGTCTTCTTTCTATTACTATCCTGTTTAACTAAGGTCTTCCTAGACCTACATCTTTGCTTCTATATTCATCTAAATATATTGGAGCAGTAGTAATGACTAGTCTTCATTAGAGATTGCCACAAACCCAAGATTGTTATTTATCAATTGCAATAGTTCTTCTAGCCAAGAAAATATAATTTTAAAACAATATACTTTATTGTCAGAACTTCAAAATACATCAGCAAAACTAAGAGAGTTTGAGATGTTAGCAGAAACAAACAACTGGACCAACCAAGTTAAAGTAATATTTGTTATATATAGGTTGTCTTTCTTATGGGTTAGAACTAAAAATTCTAGAAAGAATATAAAGCAACTACCTGAAAACACATTATGTAAAAAAAAAGAAAAAAGAAAAGAAAACATAAAAGCTGGTCATGATGGCACAGAGCTATAATCCTATCAACTTAGGAGGCAGAAGGATCAGGAGTCAAGGCCATCCCAGTAAAGTAAACCAGACCTTATCCCAAAAATAAAATAAAACAAAAGAGCTGGGGGCATAGCCTAAGTGATAGACGGGAGTGAGGGAAGAGAAAGCAAACCTTGAAGAAGAGTTGCTGAAGAATCAATGAGAGTACTGAGTATTGATGGGTTGTTGCTGATTTTTTTTGAGGGGGAAAGTGTTTTCATTTCGTTTGTGAATTTCATTTTTTTCTAACCTTTGTATTCTAGCTTTAAACTAAGGATGGCCACAGTTGCCAAAACACAATAAAGACCAAAATGGTAAGGAAAAGCTAATCTTTCTGGCCAAAGGACAGGTAAAGTTCATGCAAACCACTGTGGAAATTGCAGTTTGTTGTTGTTGTTGCTGTTTCCTCTCCCAGTCATACTGCAATAGTGTGGTAGTAGCAAAAGCACTTAAAATCTGGGAGAGAAAGGCTTTTCTCAATGGCTAGAATATCAGGCAAAGAACAAGTTTGCAACAAAAACAGAAAAGGAAACTTCCAATATTTTCTCTCTTTTCTCTCATTACTTGTCCTTCAACTTGGTACAGGATAAAGTAATTCTGCCAAAAACACAAAGTGAAACATGGCTTTAAGAGAGAAATCTTCATTCTATCAGAGGAAAAAAGAAACAGGGCCCAAGGGCGCAATGAGTAAATCAGAAAGTCCTGGAGAAGAAAAAGAGGAAAAAGACAATCCCTTCAGTCTGTCTGTAAACTAACGTAAGTCATGGACTTGCTACCATGCTATACATGTATGTAGCAGAGTAAAGAAGTATAGCAAAAGGAGTTAAAAAGTGAATTGAAACAGAAAGGAGGATAGAACTTGTAATCTAGACATCATCAGGTAGATTATATGTTAAAAACAACATGCTTCAGAGAATTGGGAGGAAGGACAGTATTAGAATTTGAATTCAAGGGCTAGTGCTTCATAGAGAGGCATTCTACCACTTGAACTATGTCCCTAGTCCTTTTTTGCCTTTGTGGTTTTTTTTTTTTTTAATATGGTCCTGTATTTCTACCTGGGGCCAGCCTTGGAATACCATACTCTCACTTAGGATGCCCTGAATAGCTGGAGTTAGAGAGGCACACCACCCTGACTGCCTTGTTTGTTAAGACAGGGTTTCAACTTTTTGCCTGGAACAATGATCCTTTTTATCTCTACCTCCCAAGTATCTGGAATTACAGATGTGAGCCACCATACCTAGCCCTCTTCTGGAAACCTCCTTAACTGGAAACTTTCTCAAATATAAAATTTTTGTCTGGGAAACAATCCAATTATTCAATAAACAGAAAACAGAAAAGGAAAAGGGAAAATAATAAACTTAAATAAATAGCTTGAAGCATAGCTGAAGCAATAGAGCGCCTGCCTAGCATGCATGAAGCCAAGTTTAACCCTCAGTACCACCAAAAATAAATAAAATAAAATAAAATTAATAATTTTCAGTTGCTCATCTTAAAATATGTACTATCAGTTTTTTCTAAGAGTTGAATATAATACCTGTGTTAGATGGATCCAAAATTAACTGAAGAGATGGCTTATTTGATTGGCTGGCTGTAACATCTCCAAATGAATGGTCTGAAATCTCATTGGAACTTTGACAATCAACAAGAAGACTACTTTGTCCTTTCTCAGAATCCCTCAAAATCTCTTCCATAGCTTTTTCCAATTGTTCATCACCATTAGAAACTATCTGTAGACAGAAACATAATTCTATTTCAGTCCTATTATAATTTGGGATATTAATTCTGTAAAACTGTTATAATTTCTTCTAGAAAAATTTGTTTCTACAAAAAAATTAAAAATATGTTTATTGAATACTAAGAACTAATGTGCTTATATCACATATAAGAAATTTAAATTCCAAATAATAAAACCCACTAAATGAGAAGATTATTAGTTTCACAAAACGATTCTTTATAAATACTTTGGGTAACTTCCAACTACATTTGGTAAGAGATTTTATTTAAAGAGATTGCTTTTTCTTTTATACCTTTCATTTGGGGAGGAATGCACCGTAAAAGTTATATGATCTTAAAATTACATGCTATTAAGGAGAAAATGGGTAAATTTAAACAGGATAATTTATAAATGCCTTTTAAAAGACAGTACAAACAGTTTATGATTTTTTTATAAATTCTTTGCTAGCTACCAAGGAGAATATTATAAATTTGTTTAAATATAAGTTGACTTCTATTTTTTTCTTAAAAGCAGGTGAAGCATAAAGCCTAAGTAAATAAATGAATTCTTAAAAACAATAATGCTGGGCTAGGAATGTGGCTTAGTGGTAGAGTGCTTGCTGAGCATACATGAAGCCCTGGGTTCCTTTCATTCCTCAGCACCACATAAACAGAAAAAGCCAGAAGTAGCACTGTGGCTCAAGAGGTAGAGCCCTAGCCTTGAGCAAAAGAAGCTCAGGAACAGTACCCAGGCTGAGTTCAAGCCTCAGGACTGACAAAAAGTAAAAATAAAAATAAAAATATAGGGCTGGGAAGATGGCTCAGTGGTAGAGCGCTTGCCTTGCATGCTCGAGGCCCTGAGTTCGATTCCTCAGCACCACATAAGCAAAAAAGAAAAAAGCCGGAAGTGGTGCTGTGGCTCAAGTGGTAGAGCGCTAGCCTTGAGCTGAAGAGCTGAGGGACAGTGTCCAGGCCCAGAGTTCAGGCCCCACGACCGGACCCAAAAAAAATAAAAAATAAAAATAAATAAAAATAAAAATATAGCTATCCAAAAGTTAAGCCACTGATAAGTCTGAAGGATAAAACAATATATTATCAGAATAATGTAATGGATATTCAATTATCTCATTTTTGTACTAATTTCATTATTAGACATATATTAAGGCATCTTTGCTGCTATTCTTAATACTAAGCAAACGCCAGAAAAAATACATAGCACTGCTAACTTACTCCATCCCTGCTTACAGAGAGAATTACGCCTCATACACATATACCTGTGTTTGATTGCTTTCTTTCCTTTGAGGTAGGAAAACTAATCCAAAAAGAAAAGAAAAATGACCAGATCCAAATGAAAAGAGCTGATAAATATATGATATATACTTTCAAAATATTTACACAAGTTTACTGTTAAATCACCTAGTAGAATGTTACAGCTGATTAAAACAAATTTCATAATGGAAACCATCTCTAAAGAAAAAGAAATCAACTTTTATGTAATTGACTTTTAAAACCCGAAGACAGAAACAATTGGATCAATTAAATTTTTATGATTTAACCATTGAGTTTAATTTGCAAACTACCTTTTCTATTTTCCCTTTAATTTCTTCCTTCTGAAATATCAAATTACAGGGTAAATAACCAAAAGCAAAATCTTTAAAACATTCAAATCAAGTAAATAACTTCTAGATAAAGCAAACACTGATTTTTATTTCCTCTCAAGGTTAGTAATTGAGAAAAACCTTAAATTTTTATATACCACCCAAGATAATCTTCAAATAGTTTTAAAGAGAAAAAAAGAGTGAATTAAAATAATGTCATATTAGAACAGAAATAAATACCTTCAGTTGAGGTTTTTCATCATCTTTTGTAGAAGTATCATCAGCATGCTGAGGAACCAAAACAAATTCTTCACTGTTCAGTGTAGCCACAGAATCAGATGACCCACTAACCTTCTGCAATGAAGCTCTGACCTCCATTTCAATTCTTCAAGCTTCTCTTCCCACATCCACCTAGGAAAAACGCAGGGAATAAAAAAACACTATTAGACAAAAACATAAACTACTTAAAATTATAAACTAATGTACTTTTTAAAATGGTTCATGTTGAAGAATATTGCTGGAAAATCATCTCAAATTTAGAGAGGTTACTTTCCTGGACTGCTCCACATAATGGAAATATACTCTCTTTACTCCTGAGTTTATAGACTAAAAGAACCATATTGTTCCCTCAAAACAAACACAAATCTTCTCATTTTCTCAACTAAACAGACTTACCTATAATTCTCTATTTCCCTGAGAGATAGTTTTTGTTCTTTTTAATAAACTTAAGAAATAATAAACACATTACAGAAACACCTAAAAATTCACACAAAAACAAATTACCTTCAGCTTAACATGGTGGTACACACCTATAGTCCCAATATTCTAGAGGCTTGAAGACCACTTAAGTGATCCAGAAACTTAAGGTAGGAGTTTGACAGAGGAAAACTGTGGTTCAAAAACAAATCTATCATTTTGATTACTTTGTTAATTAAATACAAATGCTTTCAAAAACATATCTCTCCAATATTTATCACCTTTACATGTTTTTCCTGGGTCACTGAGCTTAGCTAATACAGAATTCAACAATCCACAATTTTTTTCTTTCCCAGACACATTAATACCAGCTCATAAAAAAGAAAATTTTTCATTCTATCCTAATCCAGCTAAGTTTCGGTAATCAAATACATTATAATTCTGTTTCTGGATAAATCCATACGCTCACAGAAACTTAACACTATCATTTCCTATAGTTCATATATTACCACTTATATATTACTAATATTTACTTTACAAATATATAACTCATTACCTGACTTAACATAACTATAATCCCTCTGTGCATCACCTTTACAACAAAATATAAATGTCTAAAAAAGAAATGTACTACATAACCAAGAATGTATTGTTCCAGGATACCATGACTTAATAAGGAAGCCAGGTGGCCTACTATTCTGAAGTTTACATACAAAGTGAGAGGAAAAAAGAGGTAAGGAAAAGTGTTGATTCCAAAAGAACTCCCAGGATGAGGAATAAAACAGGCTATAGTGATAAAGAGAACCTAAGGTAAGTGTAGAATAATCTTAACGTGGGTAGTAGGAAAGAACTTGCTAAGAAGGAAATATATGAGCTAAAACCTGGAAGACAAAAGGCACTAAGTATTAAATTGAAAAATAAGCAAAAGGGTAATGTGATAGAAAAGCAGAATAAACAGGTGAGCTAAACAACACAGGACTCTGAACATCACAAGAAATTCACACACAAAATTCTCCCAGAAATTTTCTTTTTCTAATTGGGGTTACTCGGCTTTATTGCCACATACAAATCTGGCTGCAATATTTAATGTGAACACTAGGTGGCACTAACACCATTAATCTTGGAAAACAAATCATTTACTCCCAAATTACACATTCAAACATTACTTTCCAACTTTTAAAAATCAAAACTCCCAAGAATGCCAAAACAAAGAAAAGAATTATCTCCTCATGGTCTGTCCAATATTTATTTATGTTACTCATACTAATGTCCTGTTTTAAGAAACCCTTGGAAGTAGATCCATCTATTTTCTAAAGATTTTTCCACTTCACGTGTGTTTCCCAAACTGCAGAATGTGTTAACAACCATGTCTTTACACATCTAGGCTGTACTGTAATGCCTTGCACTTGCTAAGTAAATTGTCACTTAATGTCTGCAGCCATTTTTGCTTTAGTTATTTTTCTACTAGGTTCTCACTTTTTGCCTAGGCTAGCATGGGCCATGATCTTCCTATTCACATTTCCCACATAACTGGAATGGTAGGCATGGGCCAAGGTTCTTAAAAAAATTTTATTGTTAATTTGTTTCCTCAAGCTGGCCTCAAACTATGATCCTCCCAATCGCAGCCTGTCCAGTAGCTACAAATACAAGTGTAAGCTACTATGCCAAGCTGCTGTGAATCTTTTATTGTCAAAATACCATAGCTTTTTATATCCAATCCTCTCCAAATCCTTTTCAGGTCGTTGTTCTTCCATCTGAGTTCCAAATGTTGGAAATCACTTGCCACACATACTAAGTAATGTCTCTAATCATGGATTAAAATAGCATATATGTATATATTTTACCAGTCTCCCATGTTCTATACCAACTCAAATGCTTTCTCTTAATTCATGACTTAGACTCCACCTGTCTACTTCACATTCCCAAGTAAAGATATTATCAGAGGCTGGACACTGGTGGCTCATAACAATAATCCTAGCTACTCAGAAAGCTGAGATCAGAGGCTCATGGTTCAAAGTCAGCCTAGGCAGCCTACCTCTGATTAACCACCAGAAAACTGTAAATAGAGCTGTGGCTCAAAGTGGTAGAGAGCTAACCTTGAGCAAGAGATTGGGGACAGCGCCCAAGTCCTAAGTTTACACCCATGACTGAACTAGTGAAAAAAAAAAAAAAAATATATATATATATATATACACATATATATATATAACCAAAACAGAATTTTTAATGTCTCTTAGAAACTTGTTTTCCAAGCTCCCCATTTGAGTAAATAACCCCATCTTCCACTAAGTTACTCAAACAAGAAATCTGGATGTCACCTTTGAGTTACCTCTTCTTTTTTGTTCTTCCATTCATTAGCAAGTCATAGCAAGCCCCATATCCAAATAAATCCTCTATCTATTCATTTTCCATCATGTCCTCTACTACTATCTACTGCAGAAGTCTCCTAACTATCTCCTACCAGTCTTATCCTCCTCAATCTACTCTTTACCCATCTGTCCAAGGAACTTTTTAAAAGACAGATTACCTTAAACTTCAGACTAAAACCTCTACACTCTAATTCAAATAAAACCCAAACTGGAATAACTAGGACCATTATACTTTTACCCCTGCCACATTCTAATTATAGCTCCTTAATCACAGCAATTTTTCCCCTTTCAGATCTTAGCTCTTACCTCATACCTTCAAAACTGATTCCTTCAAGATTCGGTTCATTCATGCTTTCAATACATATTCACTGAGTCCCTACTATGTACTAGAAGTGACACACCTGAATAAACACAGCTGTCTGTCTTCCTAAAGCTAATAACATCCTAACAGAACACAAAATTAGAATTACATCCTGCAATAAGTACTACAAAAAACTTATTTGATATTTGGCTGAATAAAAATGAATTAGCCATGGAAAGAATTGCAAGAAAAACTTTAACAGAAGTAACAGTAAATGCACAAGTCTAGATAGGAGAAAAGACTTATTGAGAAACAGAAAAGAGGTCATGGTAGCTAGATCATAAAGGATAACACAAGATGAGATATAAAAGGGACAGAAGCAAATGTCAAAACTATCTAAATAAATTACTTTCTTGCCCAAAAACTCTGTTTACTCTACCATGAACTACATTTCAACCCCTATAGTTTCTGTAGCTACAGAAAAGTGAAGCTCTCCATTATCCTCTTCAACTATGTAATCTAAACAAGACCAGCAATCCAGTAAGCCTCCACTGGTACCCAAGAAGATAATAGCATCAACACAACAGAGGAAGGAAGGAAGGGAGGGAGGGAGGGAGGGAGGGAGGGAAAGAAAGAGAGAGGGGGGGGAGAGAGGGAATGGAGGGAAGGGGAGGGAGGGAGGGAAAGGAGGGAGGGGGAGGGAGGGGGAGGGAAGGAGGGAAAGGAGGGAGGGGGAAGGAGAGGGAGGGAGGAAGGGAAGGGAGGGAGGGAAGGGAAGGAAGGAAGAAATTACTTTCAACTTTACATTTTCCATTAAAATCTATAAGCAAAGATATTATATCTGTCTTTGACACTCAGAGTCTTACTAGCACACAGAAAAGTTCTGTGATATGCCTGTTTTAATAGCTGTTAATACATCAAAAGAAACTGGAAGAGATTGAGTATCTCTTCTTTGAAATGCTTACAACCAGGAATGCCTCAGACAATAGACTTTTTTTCTGATTTTCAAGATGTCTTTGGTACTGGACACAAATGTAAATATTCACATGTATTTCTTATATACGTAGTCTTATAGTAACTTTATACATTATCTTTATTGCGACTGTGTTATGATTGAGCCCTATCACATGACATGTGGAATTTTCCACTTGGAGAATCATGTTGGCCCTTAAAAAGATTCTGTTTGGAGCATTTTCAGATTTTCAGATTACAGATGCTCAACTTGTACATAACACACAAAAGCTCTGGACACATATTAAGTATTTGTGACCAGGTATGTGTATGTGAATCTATAACTGCCTACTTCTAAAGATTAGTAGGAATGGGGCTGGGAAGATGGCTCAGTGGTAGAACGCTTGCCTTGCATGCCTGAGGCCCTGGGTTCAGTTCTTCAGCACCACATAAGCAAAAAGAAAAAATCCGGAAGTGGCGCTGTGGCTCAAGTGGTAGAGCACTAGCCTAGAGCTGAAGAGCTGAGGGACAGCGCCCAGGCCCAGAGTTCAGGCCCCACGACTGGACCAAAAAAAAAAAAAAAAAGATTAGTAGGAATTTTAAAAGACAGAGATCCACATAAAAGAACTAGAATTAACTGCAGTTGTTTTAGTCAAAATATTCCATGCATATCCTATGAAACAAGGAAAATTGAGGGGAGGAATAGGGAAGAAATGGGAGAATGATACAGTAGTGATATTGATCAAGATGCATTGTATTTAAAAACCTTTGTACAACTAATGATAATAAAAATATAATTTAAAAACAATTCAAAATCATGAAAAAACTTCAAATTCACAAGATTTTAAGAAAAAATATTCCCTTTGATTTGATGCAAGTAACAGAAAAAAATTTAAAGACTATTTTTCTAAAAAAATTCAACAGATGCTTATGAGGAAAGTTATAGAATGTGGGGAGAAATGTTTTAAAGCCCTTTTTTAAGAAAAAGAGAAAAGATCAGGAAATGGAAATATGGGGATTTTTGGTTGTTGGTAGTGTGGTGGTGGTGTTTGTTTTTGCTTTTTTGTTGTTGTTCTTGCTGTTACCTTTTCTGT